ACGCCGAGGGTTGACGGTGTACACGTCCATGCCACCGTAGTCGGCCCAGTTGTTGGTGAAGGCGACGAGCAGCTTGATGCCAACCTTGGTCGCGGCGTCGACGACCTTGTCAAAGGGCTCGAGGTCGATGACGGAGGTGCCGTTGTCGTACCACTTCTGCAGAATCACCTCGGTGGCGCCGGCGCCCTCGCCACCGTACTTGGGCATGCCGTTCTTGAAATCCGAGGTCGCGTTCTTGTCGTTGAAGCCCCAGGTGCGGAACACCTTGAGACCGGCGTCCTTGGCGGCGGTCAGACCAGCCTCGACATCAGCTTGGTTCTAGCGCAGCAGCGTGTCAGTTTGCATGATGATTCTCTCGTTCCTGCAGCTGTTCCGCTGGCTTCACGACCACACCGGGGGGGGGGACTGACATTGTCAAAGGGAAAGTAGTACGCATTGCTGCCGGCAAAGGGAAAGTCCTTGCCGTCCAGCCTGAACTTGGTGCCCTTGGTCGTGACGAACCCCTTGGGCACACAGCGCGCCATGGCGCTCGTGGCCAGCAGACCGACGGAGAGAATGTCGAAACGCATGGTGAAGAGGTAGCAAAAGGATTGGACAGGCAGATGCTAACAAGGGGGTGGGGGGGGGGGCCAAAGCGAAGCGCGTCTCGAGAAACCAGACGTGACGATCCTCCTCGGTTTCCCCAGAAAAAGGAGGGCAGACCAACATGTTCAACTATTTATTCCATGCGTCGCCATGCCTTTTCCCTCCTCGCCACCCCGTCTCTCCAACACTGCATCCCCCAGAGTGTCAATTGACCAATGGACCACGGCGTCATCTCCAGGCTCATGAGCTAGAGCACGGAAGAAGGCTGCCCGCCCCCCAGAAAATCACAGCCGACACCCAGGCCCCGTTGACCCGTCCGCCCCATGGGCCCGCCCCAGCGGCATCACCACGTCGGGCGGTCATCATGGCACATGGAGTTGGCCAGGGGGGGGGGGGTTATACGAAGAAGAGGGTGGGAGGGATGGAGGGACGAAGGCATGGAGGCATGGAGGGTTGGAGGGGTTGGAGGGCTGGAGAGATGTGAGAGGGGGGGGGGGTTTCAGGGACATGGCCAGGGCGATGGAGGGCGGAGCGACGCGGTCCGCGGTTCCGACAGGGTTTAGTCCTCCCGGCGGCCATCCCGGACCCCTGACCGCGGTCCGCCGCGCCGGTTCGCGTCCCCCAGCTCCACCACCGGCAACGCCACCCTCCCATTGGCCCTGCCCCGGGTCCCGGGTGCCTGAACGGTGCTTAACCGACGTGAGCCCCCCCCCGTTGTCTTCGTCCCATGTGCCCGTCTGTCTTCTCCTCCCGCTCCACAATGGTAGTAACGCTCCACTAGGGTGTGTCGTTGACAACCCTGATGACAGTAGCGACGAGAAGCGCAAGACAGACAGAAGAAACCTAAGGCCAAAACGTGCCGTGATCGACTTGACCCGCGAGGGGTTCATCCGTGGTACGCATCTCGGTTCTTGTCTCTGTCTCCTTCTTTCCCCCGCCGCCCTCCTCTTGTCTTCCCCTCACTTCCTTCCCCTCATGCTTCGCCCCACGATTGTTTGTTGTTCCTCCCGGCTGCAGCCAACCCACACACACCCTCGCCCCCTGGCATCTTGGGGCCTGGATTTCGGTTCCCCAGCCGGGTCAATGCCATGTCAGTGACGCAACGAGGTGGTTGCATGTTCAACGAGGTGGTTGCATGTTCAACGAGGTGCTTGCATGTCCAACGAGGCGGTTGCATGCTCCTGAACCCAAGTTGATTCATTTGCAGCACGTGGCACACGGTACCGTGCAGCAAACGTCGTCCAAAGAAAGACCTCGCTGCTCGGTCAGACGCCCGCATCAAGATGGGATCAATGATTTGCTTGTGTTTTGAATGAACCTAGCAAGACAGCGTAAAAATGTACAGCTTGGTGCACCGGCAGCCCAACCAACGCCGTCGTTCGACTCGTGGCCCTCGTCCCGTTTGCGCGCTCTGGGCCGAATCGCTCGTTTTCCTTCCTTCATCATGTAAACCCCAAATGCAGCAAGTGAGATGGATGCAAAACCCATTCCATGATGGTGCCGCCCTCGCGCTGGTGATCCACCAAGCAACCGCAGACCCTGAACGCCAGACGACTTGAAAAAAAAAAAGAAAATGGAAACCCTGGTCCGTGACTTCGTTCCTTCGTTCTCATGGCGCACGCGCATGCCTCCTATCGTACCGTCACTCTGCTTGCCGACGGCCCAGCCAAAGCCTCCAACTCCATGGATTTCGACTTTCGTCCAGCCTACATCGGCACGCCTGCTAAGTGCACCCCCAGTCCCTAGTTCGTGTGAGTATGTCTGATGCTCGCACGTCGAAGGTTTTGCATCATCTGCTCCACCAACGCCATCGAATCGTGGGGCACCTCCGGAAAACCCACCCTGTCCATATCGTCAACCTCTGGCGAGGTTTGCGTTGTTGCCATGGGCGCCCTGATCGGCGGCAGTATCGGCGTTTCCGAGATTGCCTCGCCTGTGTATCCCGAGGGCTTCGACACAGAATGGCCGGTTGAGAGAACCTGCAAAGCCTGCGGAGGCAGCGGCACCGGCGTCACCTTGCCAGGAAGTCTCGGCAAAGGCACCGGAGTCTCGACGGCAGCTCTGTTGGATATCTGCGACGGTTGAGAGGGTGGCCCGGACGGAGCAGCATCCTGTGTATGGGCTACCGAGGCTTGTTGAGCCGCAACAGATATCGAATCGGTGCTCGTGCTAGTTTGCGATGGTACCAAAGGCTGCGCGGGGGTCGATTCGGGAGTCGAAACCACGACCTTGGTGGGTGAAGTGGTAGAAGCGTGGCCGAACATTGCTCCACTGGCTTTCGTTCGTGGTGTCGAGGTGGCTGCTTTCTGATGAGGAAGAGGCACTGGCGTCTCCGAAATTCGAGCCGTCTTGCTCTGTGCATTTGGCGATTGTGCAGAGTTGATGGAACCCACAGCACCACTGGACGTAGGAGAAGGCAATGCACTTGTGGGTGTCCTGGCGACCTCTGGTGTCTGAGGCTGGGCCTGGGGCGTTGCCTTTGTCGGTCCTGGTGTCGGTATTGGTGCCGGAGCCCGTTCCTTTCGCGCGCGGCTCGATACATGGCTGGCAGCGGCACAGGAGTCACCTTCTCGGGAATCTGATCGGTGGTTAGTCACGAAAGAGACAGAATATGGGAGCCAGGGGTCGAAGAATTGACTACCTTATCCGCGCCTTCGGTACTTGTGGCTTCGAAGGCTTCATCTCAGAGGCAGATTCTTGATTGGGA